TATCAAGAAAGCAATTGGGTATGTACTCACACAGCAAATGGTTCACACTCATGGGTTATGCACTGGCACTATGCAGAGATAAACCAAAGAAAAAGAACATATGGTCCATACATACTCTTAAAAGTTTATGTACACGTACACACATATACATACACATACACACACATACACACACTTATATATTATATAAATATATATCCACAACTTCAAAATGTGTTCTACAAGGTCAGACAATTAAGTTTGCGAACTCATCCTAGAAAAAGTGCTACATACCTCATTGCTGAATATCACTACAGTCACCTTTGAAGTACTCCCCTTGGGAAGCTATGCACCGACACCAGCTCCTAGTTCACCCTTCAAAGCAATTTTAGAACTCTTTCTGGAATGGCCATCACAGCTGTCATCATATTACTCTTGTTGTCCTCAATGTCATCAAAATGTCTTCTTTTCAATATTTTCTTTATCTGTGGGTAAAGAAAGAAGTCATTGGGGGCCAGATTAGGTGAGTAGGGAGAGTGTTCCAATAATTATTTGTTTACTGGCTAAAATCTCCCTCACAGACAGTGCCGTGTGAGCTGGTTTATTGTCATGATGCAAGAGCCATGAATTATTGGTAAAAAGTTCAGGTCACCTAACTTTTTCACGCAGCCTTTTCAGCACTTCCAAAAAGTAAACTTGGTTAACTATTTGTCCAGTTGGTACAAATTTGTAACGAATAATCTGATATAAAAAAAAGGTTATCAAGTTTGTTGCAATAAAGTTCACAAACTTAATTGTCAGACCTCGTATGCCATAGAAAGATCCACTTTACTAATTAGCCATACATATGGCTCAAGTAGAGTGACTTGAGAAACCAACAAAATATATTTAACTATATATTTCTACTCTGCCTATTCCATTGAAAAAAGAAGTTTCCACTTACAACAGCATTCACACACAAGATTTGGAAACAAAATGCTATAGCATCATAACTGGATCAACCCAGCTAAAACGGTTGAAAGATCACGATCTGGCCAACTAATTTTGGGCAAAGGTGCAAAACCATTCATGGAGGAAGGATAGTCCTTTTAGTAAATGGTGCTGAAGCAATTAGACATCCATAAGCAAGAAAATGAATCACAATATAAACCCCACACCTTACACAAAAATTAACTCAAAATGTATCAGAGATTTAAATGTTTAATTTTATACTATAAGATTTTTAGAAGAAATCACAGGAGAAAATTTTAGGGACCTAGAGCTTGATGACATGACATGAGCTCTAGACAAGAAAAGCATGATCCATAAAAGAAAAAAAATCTACAAATTTACATATAATTGTTTTTCCTTTGTGCAAACTGTGTCAAGAAGATGGGGGGAAAAAGCTACAGAATGGAAGAAAATATTTGCAAATAATATATCTGACAAAAGATTTGTATTTAAAATATATAAAGCATCCCCCAAACTCAAAAATAAAAAACAATCCAAGTAAAAAATGGGCAAAAAACATGAAGAGACATTTCACTAATGAGAAAGTATAGGCAGGGATTGAGAACATGAAAAACGTTGAACATCATTAATCATTAGGGAAATTCAAATTAAGACCATAATGAGCTACTACTGCAAATCTATTAAACTAACTAAAATAAATAATGACAATCCAACACCCATTCCTGATAAAAAGTCTCAGCAAAGTGAGAATAGAGGAAAACTTTCTCAACTTCATAAAGACTATCTACAAAAATATAGCAAATATCCTACTTAATGTTGAGAACGTGAAGCTTTCCCACTAAGTTCAGGTACAAGGCAAGGATAGCCCCTTTCACCATTGCTTTTCAACATCGTACTGGAAGTCCTTGATAACGCAATAAGGCAAGAAAAGAAAATGAATGCTATACAGGCTAGGAAGGAAGACATACAACTGTCTTTGCTTGCAAATGCCATCATCATGTATGTAGAAAATTCAAAAGAATCAACAAAAAATAAACTCCTGGAACTAATAAGCATTTTATTATAGCAAGGTAGCAGGCTATAAGGTTAATATTTAGTCAATTGCTTTTCTTTATACCCACAATAAACAAGTGAAATTAGAGGCTTCAAATGTGGCATTTTTAGCTTCTTGATGTCAAAGCAAAAAGGAAAAAATGGTCACTTTCAAAGTGCACGTTGTCTACTTGGGGCAATAACCTCAAAACGGTTCATTTTGAAAGATTTCATGGGGAGAGTAAATTTGTGCAATGTCTTTAAGGAAAGGAGAAAATATGTTCTTCATCAGTGATTCTCAACCAGAGGCAACTACACTGGGACATTTAACAGAGACTTTTAAATGGCATCTTTGATGATTACATATCAGCCTCCTGGGGAACATGGCCCTCTTTTGAGAATTCTGCTATAGTGGACTGTGCTGCTCGGAGAGTGTACTAACAGGAGTACACAGGTGATAGTCTCTCAGGTGTCCAGGAAGGAAAGGAAGAATAACACCTGTTCTAAATAAAGGGAGTGGAATGAGTCATTTATTCATCCATTTATTCTAAAAACATTCAGCATAGGCATGGGCAAAGGTACTATGAGATAGAAAAAAATGAAACATGTATTGCGTTGGAGAATGGATGAAAATTAAGTACTTCTGCATGCCATACATTGTATTGGGAGCTTTCCATATATGATTTTATCTAATCTACACCACAACCTTGTGAAGTAGGAATGATGCCCATCTCACAGGTCAGGAGACTTTGAGCTCAGAGAGGTTAAATAACTTGCCCAGAGTAACACAGCTATGAAGTGCCAGGATAGAATGAAACTCAGGTGCTTTCTGTATGAACGTGACCTACTTTCACTCTCCATTCCAGGGCCATTTCCTTCTTGAATAACTCCAGGGGGCACCATTTCCATTCAATTCTGTATAAATGATGCCCCAGGAGCACAACTGGGGAGGAAAATCAAAATGGCTGTAATTAAAACACACATTCTCAGGGGGTTCATATCCTAATTTTGGAACGAAGACCAGTGTGTATACATTCCTAAAAACAATATAAAACAGCAAAAGAGGAGAACAGAGATTGGAGGGATTAATTCTGCCAGGATTGGGGACTTGGTATTTGGGAAGGGGTTGAAAAAGCAGAATTTAAGAAGAATGGAGGAGATTATGACAGATATTACTGTCATGTGGCAAAGACATTTTCATGAAGAGACAGGGTATGTTTTACAGGGCCTTTCTGGGGACTAGAGATGAATACAATCTACCTGGGAGAGGAGTGAATTAAGTGTAAGGGACAGAAATGGACAGTTTTGAAATCCAAGCATATGTCTTCATTCATATCTCTCCAATTCTGTATCCTGCCTCATCTTCTCAAGCAACAAAGAGAGGAATCTAGAACTGCTTAGTGGAGTGACACTGATATGTAAAATCCCATCTACTGTCCCAGTAATTTAAGACCTCAAAAAATAAAGAGGGAGTTTTGAAGGAATAAACAGTAGAATTGGGTCTCTGACCCTAGCACTCCTTTTTCCTCCTTCCTGCTCCACCTCCACATAATCCATCCTTGAAACACAAGGCCTTTCTTTCCCAACGTCTTGGCTGTGCCAGCTGGGGGGACATAAAGGAGTTCGTTTTGCAGCCCCAAGAATCTAACTTGGTCAGAAGGAGGGCTTGCTCAGATTCTTCCTGGCAGCTCTCAGGCTCTCCTTCCCCATACTTCTTGGATGCATCGATTAGAGATGCATGGTTTGGATTTGGGTGCAGCTGTTTGCACACATACCACACAGAGATCGTGGAACATAAACGAGAGTGATCTCAATTACGACTAGGCCTAGAAACCTGGGAAATGAGGATGTGTGTTCCATAGAGCGGACTGCTCTTTCAGAAGAGATTTCAACTGTGTTCAGAAATATATTCCATAGATCTTAATTGCTGGTTAGGGGGAGAATTAAGCTATCCTCAAGTTCTGAACTCTGCTCCCACTCTGTCTACAGGAATGATGAGCTGTTGCCACCCCACCCGCCCCCGCCCACTATGACATGCTGCCCCACCCAGCTAGAGATGACAGATCCAGCAATATGTGGAGAGCTCAATCAGCAAGGAGATACCTTTTCTGAAAGTTCCAACACTTAGGTGGAAATCTTGGTGGGGAAAGAAGAAATCTGGGTTGGGAAGAGGCAGGTGAGCTCCCAGGACAGCATCATAGACTGGTATGCCTTGGGTGTAAAGAAAGGAAAGGAAAGGAAAATGCAGGGAGAGCTATGAAAGGAGGAGGTGGAATCAGGAATTAAAAAGGGAATTAAAACAAAAAAAAACGTTTCAAAGGGAAGCGGAAAGAAGGGCAGGTAGAATGTGAGAGGAGAAGGAAGTTTGGGTATTCAATTTTTCTGAGGTTGGCTTCAGTTCTGAACTTTACTTTTGGTGTGATGGATAGGAGATGCCACCCTTGAGAGATTCATGTCTGTTTCTTCCTTCTGGTAGTTGTATCCTGCTGTCTACGTTGCTATTTTGGCTGCTGTTTCAGGATCAACTTAGCCTGTAATATCTAGAGCTTGTTAGAAAGTAGAATGGCACTAAGAGAAATCAGGCAGCCAACTTTTTGGTACCCTCTGACTTTTCTATTATTTTTCTCCCTAAATTGCCCTAAAGGTCTGGACTAAAAATAAACTCTCAGTGCGTTTGTCAATAGACACAGGCTTGAGTATCCCTAGTACTTGCCCTGTGACTGGGTAAATACAGGCCAGGAAGGAGAAAGGTAGCCAAAGTGGGATAATTGGTGAAAACCAAAAGATTTCTGTACTCCAGTGGGATTCATTTATGAGATTTTAAGTTAAAATATGATCTGACTTACTGAAATTTAGCAAAATATAGCCACTGGTTCTGGAAAGTGAGAGAGTCTAGGAGTGATGGGTTTCTGTTTGGCTCTCTTGTCTAGTCAATACTTTTGCCTGCTCCTTCCTGGGCCAATTATTAATACTATGTTGGACATTAGGGACTTTGTTTCCATAACAAACGTTTGTATTAACATTTCAGGGGACAGACAATGGAAGAAGTTGGACAGGACCCATTGGATGATGTGTAAGTAATAAGAATGATGGAAGAGTTCAGTAGAGGAGCTACTGTGGGAAGAGTCTACAGCAATCCAATAAGGAAGAAAATTTCAGTTGTGTAGGACATCATCTCCTCAAGCCTGGGGAGGCTTCCTGGGGAGAAAAGGCTTTGGTTTCAGTTCTTTGGGCTTCATCATACTAATGGTGGGGTTGTCAGAGACAGCTAATGTCTTAAAAAGCTAATCACTCTTATTTAGGGAAACGACCCCTTCCCATCCCTGCCAGACCAAGCTCATGTGCCTACTTGACTGCGGTTGAAAAACATGCAACATAAACTCCTTAGGAGACTGTAATACAAAGGAACTGGAGTAGTCTTCTCCCTTGCAGAGCTTTAAATGTTTTATAGGTGTGGCTTGGATTCTGTATACTCTATATAATTTTTAAAAATTTGACATTCAGTATTATTTTATACTAGTTTCAGGTGTACAACACATTGGTTAGACATCTATACAATTTATGAAGAGATCCCCCCAATAAGTCCAATATCATCCTGGCACCACACATAGTTATTACAACATTATTGACTATATCTCCCATGCTGCACTCCATATCCCTGTGACTGTTTTGTAACTACTGGTTATACTTCTTACTGCCTTTACCCCCTCCATGCACCCCAACAACCTCCTCCCATTTAGCAACTATCACCCTGTTCTCTGTATCTCTGAGTCTGTTTCTGTTTTGTTTATTCTGTTCTTTAGATTCCACATATAAGTGAGATCATATGGTATTTTCCTTTCTTAGTCTGACTCATTTCACTTAGCATAACACTCTCTAGGTCCATCCATGTTGATGCGAATGATAAGATTTCATTCTTTTTTATGGCCAAGTAATATTCCATTGTGTGTGTGTGTGTGTCACATCTTCTTTATCCAATCATCTATTGATGGATACTTAGATTGCTTCCATATCTTGGCTATTGTAAATAATGCTGCAGTGAACACAGGGGTGCATATATCTTCTTGAATTAGTGTTTTGGATTTCTTCAGATACATACCCAGAAGTGGAATTGCTGGGTCATAAGGTAGTTCTATGTTTAATTTATTGAGGAATCTCCATACTGTTTTTGCATAATGGCACCAATTTGTAATCCCACCAGCAATGCACGGAGGTTCCTTTCTCTCTGCATCCTCTCCAACATTTGTTTGCTGATTTATTGATAATAGCTATTCTGACAGGTATGAGGTGATATCTCATTGTGGTCTTAATTTGCATTTTTCTGTGATTAGTGACATTGAGCCTATTTGCCTATTTGCCTAAATATGGCTATTTACCATGTTATGTCCTCTTTGGAGAAATGTCTGTTCAGGTCCTCTGCCCGTTTTTAAATTGGATTGTTTGGTTTTTTTGATGTTAAGCTTTATGAGTTTTTTATAAACTTTAGGATATAATTTTTTTCAAAACAAATAAGTTAGGGCATAATTATTCACATAAAAATACATTTATTTTGCTTCATAAATGATTTGTGTTTCAATGGGTTCCATTTACAATATTTATAATTAGAATGTGATTTGAATCCAAGAATATAATTCATGCAAAACACTGTAGAAATTAACTTATCATGGAAAATTACATTGTATGGCCAATTAGGCATAGTAACAACAAAAGATGGGCAATGAATGAGATTATAGGGGAAACCATCTTAGGGCTCCTATGGTTTCCTGTCCTGAGTTTAGTAATGAAGATGGTTTTCCTGTAGGCAGGAGATGATGGAAATATCGAAATTAGAAGTAACAAAACAGAACCTCGTCTACCTGAACTCAGACCTTGAAAAGGACCTGCAGAGGTTGGATGAGGCAAATCAGGTTCTTCTCAGAAAAATTCAAGAAAAAGAAGGAACTATTCAAAGGTCAGGCTTTGCAGTGGGGGAGGGAAGGCCTTCTCATCTGAATGCACCTGGGGATAGACAGAAGCTGGGAGGAAGGTTTACTTCCTTGTCAGTGAATCTTGGTGTGTTATTGAAATTCTGAAACATGAACTGTGATGCCCTCAAAAGGCTTTGTGCATAGATTTTTTGCATTAAATCTCCACATTAGGTTGACGTTTTATTTGCACTGCATTTGGTAGTTACTCTGGTTCCCTGAGACCTTGCAGTAGCTTCCCAAGCTGGGGTCCTGGCACCTTCCTTAGGACTGATCCACACCTGGGTGACTATTTTTTTTTCAGTCTGGAAAGAGAGATCACCCTGTCACTAGGAGGAGCTAAAGAAGAGGAGGAGGTGGACCATGTCATATCTGAGAAGGAGGAAGCCCTGAGGGACCTGGAACTAGAAGCAACAAAGCTGGTAAGGGGCCATCTAGGAAAGGCCAGCAGGCGCGTTGGGCTCTCAGTCTGTGGTTCTTTTTCCCAGGGGATCATCATCGTGTGGCCACTGCCTCTGTGTCTGTAGAAATTGCAGCTGTTTAATGGCATCTCTAGGAATGAAGTGCTCGACATGGGGCCGTCTGTCCCCAGATCCTCTGTGTGGATCCCCAGATCGCAATTCAGTGGCCCAGTCAGGGGGAAGGTACAATGCAGAGTAGGTTTGTCCACTTTGCCTCTTTCTTTCACAGGAAAGAAGGAATAAGATTCTAAGCAGGAATGTGGTGGAGCTTCAGAAGAAGGTAAGGTGGGCCCTGGATTGTCAAGGACCCTGGGCTAAGGCTGCTCTTGGAAGGAGGCTCGTTGCTTAGGAATCAAGAGTCATCTGAACTCCTGAACTCTCCAGTCAGACTGCAGCAGGAGCAACCAGCAAAACCTGTGTGCTCCCCACTCACTGCAGCCTTCTGAATCTCTCAGACAAACTCTGATTACCACCACCATTTGTTCTCTGGGAATCACGGATCGGCAGTGAGAGAGCTACGGGGCTGCAGAGGGAGGAATGATCTGTCCCCCCCCCCTCCCTCAACCACCCTACCTCATTTTCTCTTCCCCTCCTCCTCATCCTTCCTGCCTCCCTGTGGCCTTGTGTCCTTGTTTCCATGGGCTGTGGGAACAAAAAGGCCTGTCCAGTAAGCATGAAGCCAGCCAGCTTCCACAGGCAGAAGGAGACACTTTTCTATCAACCTTCTATCTGGGATCTAAATTCATTTAAACACCATTCTGCAGCCCTGAGACCCCCAAGTCTGCCACTATCCCAGGTGTTCATGTCTGTGCCTTGTTCAGTTTATGATTTGGGGATATTTCAGATTTCACAGAGATTTAAGAATGCTGACCTTGATAAAGGAAGCCCAAAGCAGATGTTGGCAGAATTGAAGGTGAGTAGAAAAAGAAACCTAGAGATTTTCTGGGATATGCTGTGTCAGTTCTAAGTTTGGGGAGGAACTGCTTTCCAGGACTCGTCCAGGCTAGGTATGTCTGTGTGTTTATTGGAGGTGAGCCAAAGTCCTTTGTTCCCTCTACTTTACCCCATGGCTGTAGGGCACTCATAACATTATTAGTCACCCTGGTGGCAGAGGTGACTGCAATGACCAGGAAGTGGAGGGAATTGCTCCAGACCTCATTGTCCATCAGACAACAGAACCCGGGTCTGCATGCCCACCGGGACCTGCCCTCAAGAAGTTTTTGATTTAAATGACATACAAATGCAGACATTCGTGGAGGAAGGGAATACTAACTTCCACAATTATACAACGGTCTTTGCTTTTCCAACTCATGGCCAAGGAAGTTTTACTTCTTAAATTTATCTTTTTCTTCTGCTAGAAGGCAAATCCAATGAGGACATGAATTTTTGTCTATGTTTTCACTCCTATTTCTCCAGTGCCTGACACATAGCAGATGCCCAATAAATATGTGTGGAATCAATGAATAATTTGGATGTCCAACAGAGGGAAGAAACCCTACTGGGAAGCTCTTTGCCGATTTATGTGTCAAATACGGCAATTTGGCTGAGCGCGCCCTGGCAGAGCCCTACTATCCTGTTTCTCTCAGAAAAAGAGGCTCGGGGTTTTTGTTTTGCTCCATGATTCAGATGGCATGTGAGTGCACCCTATGGAGTGTGAGAGAAACAGGCTGCTGAGCTTTGCTCAGTCACACTGGAAGGCGGAAGATGGCTAAGTCCACAGACTGGGAAGTCAGGCCACCAAGGCTGAAATGTCAGCTCTGCCACTGTGTGGCTTTGAAACAATTATGCACTTAACTTCTCCTTGCCTTTGTCTCCTCATCTGTAAACTGGGGTTTATGACAGTGCCCGCCCCAGGCTGTTATACTATGTCCTCAATATGCGATAGCCGTTATTATCATGATCTTTGCTGGTCTGGAGAGAGGGTGATGATTCCCCATTCGCTTTTCACAAAAGAATGCTACTAACTGTCTGCTGTCACTCATTGTCTTCCACAGGTGAGACTAGAAACATCAACAGAGTCCTGTGCAAAGCGAGAGAAGGAACTGGTCAAGGTAGAGGCAGTACCTTCCCTGCTGAGGGTCCGCCCAGGATATAAATGGGAGAGAGCCCAAAGGTCCTAGGGACAGAATAGCTTGAGGCATAGGAGGGGTCAGGGGAGCAAGAACCTCTGGCAAATAAATTTCTGATTCACGTGCACGTGAAGAGAAAGAAAGCTTATATGAAAAGTACCAGTCTTACTATTTCTTAAACACCCCTCTACCTCAAATCTCACATACTATTGTTGAATCCCAAATCTAAGTGCCCTGAAACATCTGACTTTCACCTGAGAGGCATATGACAACCTGGGGAATTTCCTGCGCTCAAAATCAGACACTGCCCAGGAATGATGAGATCACTGCTTTGTGATGTGGTTAATTTCTCATCAAGTAAGAAGTTGCTAAGTAACCAGTCAAACATCCAAGGCATCAGTTAGGGTCTCAGGGAACAGCCCTAATTGGTTCTGATTTAACTCATGAGATTTGTTTTTTTCTTTTCTTTCTAGATCGAGAGCGACTACCAGTCTGTGTACGAGCTTTGTGAGGACCAGGCCCACTACATAAAGGTACGCTGCCCCTGGGGGGAAAAGTCAAGTCAGAGTGGTGGCAGAATTTCTCCAAGGCCGTGCATTCCTTGGTTTCTCAATAGGCGAAAATCTGCCACTGGGAAAATGAAAATGCCTTTTAAACAACAGCAACAGTGACACAGTTGTTTGTTAAGGATTTACCTTGTACCAGGTACTGGTACACATGGTATTTTTAAGCATTTAAAACACAGTACTTTTCTCAATCATTTTGTCCCATAACTCTATGGGGGTGATATTGTTATAATCTAGAGGACAGACACTAAGGTTTAAAGGAGTTAGAAAATGTTCTCCAAGAACACAGCTAGTAAGCGTCAGAGCTTGGGTTTGAATATAAGCAAGATGTAAAGAGAGAACTCCTTATTTTTCATATATATTCATCGGGTCACTAATTACTGGGACATTGCCCCCCTTGTGTGTGCACACCCATGCGTGCACCATTTGGAATATTAGGAAAGGAATTAGTCTTAGGAGAATCTTTCATCAATGACATTGTAATGACATATATGGAAATTCTTGATTATGAGAATAATCTTCTTTTTAATTTCCATGGGAAGAAATACCAGGAAATCCTGAGACAAATGGAAAAGGAAAAGGAAGTGCTGCTTCTTGAAAAAGAAGTGTAAGTTTGGAAAAATGACCTCCCTGATAGACTGAAGTGACAGTCCCCAGATGGTCTTTGAAAAGCAAAGTATGTACTTCTTAGACCAGTTGGTGTCACTATAAATGGCCCCCAGCAAATCAGCCTCCGCTCCAGGCTCTAGACGGGAGAATCATCAACACTCAGGTTTCTCTCTTGCCCTTCTCAGCAATCAGTGTTTAAAAGGTCTCTTTTTTATGTTTTTTTCATGTGTCCTTAGTTGAGTTTTATTCTTGAAAACTGACTCAGGCTAGGTTCAAAGAGGAAGAATTCTAATAAAAAGGGGTCAGAGGACCCAGCAACGTTTCTCCATATGTGTGTGCCATCCCCTTTCCCAGGACTTGGTGATCTGCCACATTGTCTGGGGGCCCCAGGGGTGCCCTTTTAAGTATGCTCCATATCTATAGACTTCATATGGCTCAGAACTTGACACGCTTGCCTTTTGTTTGTTTATACTTCTAAACCACATTACATATCACATTGCATAATATACAAAGTGCACGAATCTTGAATATATAGCTTCGCAAATTTTTATACATATATATTCACATGTTGACACAACTCAGATCAAGATATATTCTAGAACAATTTGATTACCCCCAGATGGCTCCTTTGTGCCCTCCTCTCAGTCAATTCTCCTTGCAAAGGTAACCACTATTCTGACTTCTATTATTTTTTATTATTGATTTTGTCTGTTCTTGAGCTTTATTTGAATGTTCTCTTTTGTGAATTTCTCACTGAGATTCATGTATGTATGTTACTGCATACAGCCATGTTTTGTCCTTTTCATGGCTGTATAGTATCCCATTGTATAAATATGGCACAATTTATCTATTTTACTATTGATGAACATTTTGGTTATTTCCAGTTTGGGGCTATTTCAGATAAAGTTGCTACAAATATTCTTATGCATGTCTTTTGTACATATCTACTCATTTCTCTTGAGTATATACCAAGAAGCAGAATGCTGGGTCATAAAGTATGTATTTTTGGCTTTATTATGATAAAGCCAAACAATTTTCCAAAGTTGCTGTACCAATATCTCCCTCCATGAGAAATGTATACAGGTTTTAGTTACTCTATATCCTCACTTTCACTTGGTATTTATAGTCTTTTTAATTTTAGCCACACTGACAAGAGTGTAGTGATATCTAATTTTGATTTTAATGCACTTTATTACTAATTATTGTGTTGCACGTATTTTCAAGTGCTTATTGAAAATTTGGATATCCTCTTCTGTGACGTGTCATTTTCCTACTGAACTGTGGTTCCTTATACATGTATTTTTGATAAGGCCATTTGTCACATATAGGTATTACAGTCTATTCTATGACTCTCCTTTACTTTCTTAATGGAATCTTTTGATAAACAATAATTTTTAATTTTAAGGAAGTATAATCCATCAAATTTATCAATCCTTTTTTGCATAGTGCTTTCTTTGGGTCATAAAATTATTCCCTATGCTTTCTCCTAGAAATATTTTATTGTTTTACATTTTACACTTATGTTTACATCCATCTACAATTTATTTTTTCTATGCTGTGAGGTGGAGATCAAGATCCATTTTTTTTTTTTTTGGTATAGACAGACAATTGACCCAGCACCATTTATTGAAGAAACCATGAATTTTCAATGGTGCCTTGTGTTATAAGTCAGGTGACGCCATATGTCTGGATACTTTATTCTATACCATTTGTCTATGTCTTTACCCTTGTGCCAATACTACACTGTTTTAATTACTGTAGCTTTATAATTCGTCTTGACATATGGTAGCTTAAGTTCTGCAACTTTTTGTTCTTCTTTAAGATTATCTTGGCCATTTGAATTTCCATATAAATTTTTAATTAGTTTTTCAGTTTCTACAAAAAAAACTTGCTGAGAATTTTATTGGACTTTAATGGAATCTATTGATAAATTTGGAGGCTAATTAACATTTAAACAATGTTGAGTTTCCCAAATCATAAATATTATTTTCCCCCCATGTATTTAGATCTTTTCAAATTTCTCATAATAATATTTTGTAGTTTTCTGTGTAGTGTTACTGTACCTCTTTCATCAGATTTATTCCTAGGTATTTGATATTTTTGATGCTATTATAAATGAGATGTTTGTTATTTTGATTTCTAATTGATTACTGCTAGTACACAGAAATACAGTTTGTTTATATATATATTGAACTTGTATCCATTAACCTTTCTAAATTCACTTATTCTAATAAGTTGCTTATAAATTCTCTTAGATTTCCACCTATGAATAACAGTGTATATCTTCCTTTTTAATCTGTATACATTGTAATTTTTTCTTGCCTTATTGAATTAGCTAAGATTTTAGTACAATATTGGCTAGAGGGTTGACAGTGGGTATCCCTGACTTTTTACTCAAGTTAGGGGAAAAGCGCTTAATATTTCACAATTAAGTATGGCGTGTGTTTCTTATAGACATCCTTTATCAGATTAAGAAGCTTCCCTTCTGTTCTGAGTTTGCTGAGTGCATTTTTTAAATTATTATTAGCAGGTATTAAATTTTATTAAATGCTTTTTCTGTATGTATTGAAAGGATCATGTTTTTCCCTTAGAAATGTACCAACCAGTGCCCCTTCATGTTTAAGAAGCCTCAAACTCTGATTTTTACTGCCCAGCACTACAATCCCACTCCAATCTTTGCTCAGCTTTTTAAGAGTCTCTCGCTTTCTGGCTTTTCTTGGGATCTTGAGCTACTCATGTACAGCCTTGACAGGAAAGTTCATTCAGATATTTCAACTCACTTCTTTATGGTTGCGTTTCCCCTTAAGTGTTTCCCCTCATGTCCTAGTCACTCTGACGGTCTTCTACTCCACCCTCTGTCTCCTCAGCCAGTTAATGCTCTTTGGACTCTATTCCCCACACCACAAAAGGGCAAATGGTTTTGGGGAAAGCCTGAATAAATGAGGAGCTCACCTCGGTGTACTTTCCTTTGCTTAGGGTTTGCATCCCGTTGGCTTCTGACTACATTCTACAATGCATTCAAACAGCTGTTTTATGTACTTCGTCCAGTTTTTATGGCTATGTTTTTATAGTTGGTCTAGTCTGATGCAAGCTATTCCATCATGGCCAGAACCTGGTGTCTGTAACACTTCTCCCTTTTCTCCTCTATTTGATGATTACAAAAAGATATCTCCATGAAAAGACTGAGTAAGCTTTACTGGGTCAGACCCTCTTGGCAGGAAACAGTTCTAAACTCTGGACAACAAAACAAAACAAACCAACGAACAATCAGAAGGCACTGGAGAGTGAATAAAAGCAGGCAGATCCTGGAGGGGAGTTGACACTTGGAAGAAGGGACTAATAGCAGGAGGTGATGTCCCCATTTTTATCACTGTCAGCCTGAGGGCAGGCTAAGCTTGGTGTGTGAGGAACAACTGAAACACTGGGAGAAAAACCTGTCGTCTTTCTGAGCTAATAAAATAGAGGACAGATTTCGGAACAGTCAAATCTCCCAGATAAAAAGCAAAGAGCCAGGGATGGAGAGTCTCACATTTTGTGTCTAAACTTTGCCCAAATCACAGGCTGATCTCTAAATCACGCGTGCTCAGGGCAGTGAGTAGCTCAGCAGAGGATGTCAGACCTGACCTGAGATTTGAACTGCCACCAAGAGATAGACTTTTTGCTGTTTAAATTGAACATCAGGGTTATTCTTGATTCTTTTCTCTTGAGATTGGAACACAATTTTCTGGTTCTTTGTATGCTGAGCCTTTATGAATTTTGAGCATTGAGCACTGTGACTGTTATCAAGCATCTAGGAAATAATCATAGATTTTGCATGACTTATAGAAAAGCTCCTTTCATCAGCCCCTCAGATTACATTACATAATTCTTTGATCTGATCTTTTTACCCAGATTCAAAGCCCAGAACAACTCTACCCAAGTTGTGAAACCTGGATCTATTCTAGTGGAGACCATTCGAAACAACGTGGTAAGTCTTCCTTGCCCCAGATGGAGCTTTCCTCTATCCCTTCCTCCCCTGTTCTCTGCTCTCCTTTGTAACAACTCTAGAGTTAGGAACTAATGAGGTTCAGTACTGTGCGCCACTCCATGTCAGTTATACAGTGGGAGAGCCAGGATTCAAACCCAGGCAGCCTGACTCCTGGGTCTAAGCTCTTAGCCGCCCTGCTTACTGCTGTGTGAGCACATGGACAGGCACAGCTGGGCCTTTTATTGCTTCCCACAGGAGAAGACGGTCACTAAGAAACAGAAGAGAATCTTTTGGTACAGGTAAGTGGTAGAATCTTGTTTGTTTTGCATAGTCTAGGCCACATTCACTCTATAGAAGTGAATGGCTTAATAAGGGCATAAGGAATAAGAATATACACATCCACCAACCAGAAAATATCAGGCAGCCTCAGATTTCTCCCAATCCTTCCTTCCTTCCTTCCTTCTTTTTTTCAACACCACATTTATACAGGACTTGGTTGTTGGAGAAAGTGGCTATTTCTGAGAAGCACAAGCTGGAGGCTGCAGGTTGCATTTCCCTTTCACTTTCCATTCTTATGATCCTGGCTGGATATATCCCCTTCCTATTTTTCAGATCCTGAATCTGATAATCTCTGCTATACACTTTGCTGGAAACAAAGTTCAGGGTGCCTTAATTTTTTAAGTTCTTTTACTACAGTCTGCAAAATTTTAGGGGAAAAAAAATCACTTGAAGTCGGTGCCTTTTTTAAAAAGAAATTGAAACAAGGAGACAGACTCTAAAAGGCTACATGTGGCACTTTAATGAAAAGTGTCACTATGACATTTCAATATAGTTGAAGACTGAAAAGACCAGTTTTCAGGGTGGAATTTTCTTGGGTGCACACAAGAAAACACACACACAGACACACACACACCTTTTATAGTTTGAGTTGGTCTCTTTTGGCATTTGATGTTTAGAAAAAGCCAATCCTAATCATTTTACCTGGAGTTAATGTCAGACATGGCCAGTCTTATTTCAAATTTTAGAACTGCTTGCTATAGTGGACCTGAAGAGGGCCACTGGTCATGAGACTCCCAAGTGTGATGGTCGTGGACATTTTCTGACAATCTTCAAAGGGCTTCCCTATATATAGTACCTGGGAAGTCTTCACTTTGCACCTCTAACTTTTCGAAGTGGACATCTATTCGGTTGGAGGGCTTAAATGTTGAGAGAACTAGAACTGCATCCAGTTCCTAACCACTATATCAATCCTATTCTGTAATCACCTGTCTCCTACCCTTACCCTTTGTGTCTCCATTCCTCACTTCCGCATCAGTTTTGCGGGAAAGTTATTCACCATTTGAGTGAGGTTTTCCTCCTTCTACTGGGTCCTGCGCTGTCTCTTTCCTAATGATGAATGTCCCTTTGCAGGCATTTCCAGTGTCTTGTCTTCATGGTCATGATGTTCGTTAAGCTGCTGGGTTATGTGCTTTTCCACCTGCAGTACATAAACCCAGACCTCCTTGTGGACGCTCTTCCCATGATGATGAGCAGGGGCACCTTGAACAGGCTGAGGGACGCCTTATTCCCCTTCCTCACCCTAGAGGTGGAAGAAGTTCTACCACACTAGTCTGGAGTGGCTTGGGGGGCTTCATACGGCACCCCAGTGGGGAGGGGGCGTGGCTTTGCTCTGTGTGGGGGATGGGCCGGGAAGGAAGTGGGAACCTGGACTCAGGGCTGCCACTCCGACACCTGACCTTTTCATTTCATCCGCTTCCCTTGCTTTCCCTCTGGAGTGTATCCCTTTCAAATAAAGAATATATTTGACCAGAGTTCATGTGTGTGTCTGTGAACTTCATCTGTGAGTCCTGGGGCCTCACTAGGTACCAGAGTTATCACCCTGTGATGTGACAAAAGCTGCACTTAAAGTGAGATCAGAAAAACTCCCCCAGGACTTCCAGTCTCTGCTGCATACTAGAAAAAAAAAAAAAGTAGAGAAAAAAATCCTGACTTAATTTGTTAGATTCTCTACTCACTCTGGGGTAGGCACAAAAGACATTCAATTGAGGAGCCACTAGGTCAGCGGTTCTCAACCTGTGGGTCGCGACCCCTTTGGGGGTCGAACGACCCTTTCACAGGGGTCGCCTAAGACCATCGGAAAACAAAGATGTTTACATTATGATTCATAACAGTAGCAAAATTACGTTATAGAATAGCAATGAAAATAATTTTATGGTTGGGGGTCACCACAACATGAGGAACTGTATTAAGGGGTCGCGACATTAGGAAGGTTGAGAACCGCTGCACTAGGTAGATATAAAGCTAGCTTCTAATATTTTATTAACATATTATCCTTCCTTAAGCTTTTATTTTATAGAATGCTATATTATATGGGAGTGGGATGTCCTGAAAAGCTGACTTTTGTGTACACAAATGGTTGTTCTCAATTGAGAAAAAAATTACCTTGAAATTTAAGTACCATATAAAAAGCAGTGTGCAAAATCAGAAAGTGTTTTAGATAGAGTAGACATAGCCAAACACAACTCTGCCCCTACCTATCATTCAAATCCCAGTTCAAATGCCATCCCTCCCATAATGCCTCTGCTGCTCCCTCCTGTCCTGAGCCACACTGGTCCCCTTCTGAATGTACCTTCCCGCTACAGGTAACATTAGTGCCCGGCCTATCACTACCTTGTAGTGTCGTCACTGTGTGTCTTGATGGTAGAGCTCTGACCCCTTTATTCTGCAGCAGCCCACATGGCCCCTAGCGCAGTGTCTATACAAAGTAGGCACTCAGTGAGAGAGGAAATGATTCATTGTGGAGCTTGTGTTTCTTCTTGAGGGCATCTGCAGCGTGACAGTTGGAACCATGAGTCTAGACCCTGTGTGGTGAGAGCTCACTCTTTTGCTGGTCCAGCCAACTAGGAGTTGGCGGTAAAAAGGGAAGGGAGGTAGAAGAATAGGGTTCAAAGCACAAGGTTGTGTGGCCTGCTGGCAGTTTCTACCGGTTACGGAGGCTTAATGGTAAGGGCACCTTTCCCTGGCAGCGCCTTCCTCCTACGCATTCCCCAGGCTCTTGCTTTCTGGTGGCTTTTTCTCCTTTCAAGACCATTCTTGATACAGGTTTTAACTGAATTTCACTTGGAGAGCAATATCAGGGTAGAAGAGACACGGTGCATGTTTGCTTTGGCTGCAGACATGACTGTCCCACCTTTGTGGGCAGGGAGGGGGGTAGTGGAAAGAATGTGAATTGTCTCAGAACAAGGCTCCTAAAAAATGAAAAACTGATCAACACCACCCTCTTGTGGCCAAATGAAAGCTCTTTGCATTTTAGTGGCTTCACCCCAAAAAGGCAAGAGTGTAACCGGCAAGTTGAAACAAGGAAGATGGATCAGTTGTCACTCCGGGACAATTCTCTCTATGAGCTCTAATCAATCCAATTAGTATTCATTCATTCACTCATTATTTCATTCATTGATTCAACAAATATTTACTGAGCCTGTTTCTTGGGCCAGGCAGTGTTCTAGGCACTGGGGATTACTGTAATGAACAAAACAGACCAAAAAAAAAAATTAAATTTAAAAAAATCTCTGCCCACATTCTAGTGGGTAGAGGCAGGTAAATAATTAAAACATAGAAATATCAGATATTAGGTGACATAAAAGTGAGGTGGAGAAGGAGGGAGGGAGTGCTGAGGAGCAGCAGCTGCAAAGCTCACTTGAGAAGGTGGCATTAAAACTAAGGCCTGAATCAAAGAGCCACGTGCATACCAAGGCAGGTGGTGTGGCTGACAGGGAGACAGCAAGCACATGGCCTTGAGGCTAGAGTGTGCCTGGTACGTCTGAGGTTCCTTAGCTAATTCCCTGCTCACACGTCTGTCATGGTTCCTGCATTAAACTCTCTTCACTGGAATCTCCCGAGTTGAATTCTGGTTCCCGCCAGGACTGTGGCTGATACACTGTTCACTGGCCAGAAGCATCCCTTAGGCTGGCGGGTTTCCTCATTGGGTGACCCTAGAACTATAGGTGTGTGGGAAGAAAACAGCACTGGCCAAGAAATGTGCACACAGAGTGTTGTTTCCTGAGCTATTCCCATCTATGTTTACGCAATCCCTCATAAGCTCCTGAAACTCTTAGGCTCTCCTCCACACCCCAGCATTTCCTACAGACACATCCTAGACCAATGTGGGCCCACGAGACTAGGAAATGTCAACCTGGGAGATGGGCTAGGTCGCCCCTCACTCACAGTCACTGATCTGGTGGGGATTTGAAACGTTGAAGCTGTGCTGGAAATCCACACTGCAGAAGCACAGCGGCCTTTCCTGCCACCTAGCGAACCTGCTTCCTAGGAGGAAGCGGTCCCCAGAAGGGGCTGGATGGAATCTCCAAGCCTGGGAGGCAGAAGTGGGGTGACCACTGCTTTAAATGAGCAGCTCTGAGCTAGACAGCAGACTTCCAGCTACTGGGAGCTCCTCACCCCCGAAAGATCCATCACTTTCTGAAAGATTATAACATAAAGCGTCTTGCTCAACAAAGGTCACGTGGTGGGTATTCAACCCGGCATGAGCTTCCTCTCCTTCATAGGAGATAAATGTTTGCCTTTATCTAGTAGTTAATCTTAGTTCTGTTTTATAAGCCACACAGCAAAATGACTCTCCTTCTTATTTTAGCCACTAACATTGAACAGTCTTCTGTTTTCCAAATGAACGTCCCCAGGTCCTTGGAGCTGTCACGCTGGCACGGCTTCTAGATCTTGCATTATCTAATAGATCTTATCTAATTTACCCTTCCCTGGACACCCGCTGGGCTGAACAGAATGCTGCATGCAGATGATGTCTGCCTGGTAGAGCACAATAGCACTAATTCTCCTTCTAGCCTGCACACCATGCCTTTATTGATGCTTCCTAAGATTTCATTTGCCATGCTGGAAGCTGGGTCACAAAAGGCAGGAGATTGGCGTCCACCAAGATCCCTAACTAACGCTTTGAGCATGAACTATTCTCACTCTATATCTCCGCTGTTTTGGAGTTGTACAGATTCAAAAACAATACTAAACGCAGGACTTTCCACATGCTGTTAAATTTCATTTTTGTGGTTTGGCTGTTTCGTTTTAGCCTGTTGCAATCGTTGAAAAGCCTGATGCTATGAAGGAACAGAGCTATCCAGCCCATTTAGTGACCAGACACCTGGTAGAGTAGAAATTGCTGAACTTTAGATTCAGAAAGGCTTCGGTGTGAATCCTTTTGGCCTTGTAATATTGCTGACTCCAGGCAGCGAGTTAACCCTTCCTTTAAAGTGGCTAATAATGCTCTCCCCCAGGAGCAAGTTACAAAAGCCATCAGTCCTTTCAGTATTCTGAAGTGGAACTTCTTTGGGGCTAAGGACTGAATTCAATTAAATGGATTAAGCACTAGCCTTATATCTTCTCACCTATCTTAAAACTTAATTACCTGTTCACTATTTTGGACTATCCTTTTTATCATGCTGCAGATCAATTTCCTTGACAGAGAAGACTGATGTGAAATAGGACTCTTATCTATTAACATTATACCCCACATCCTAAGGAGCGGCCTCTCCCTTTCATTTCCCCTGTTCCAAACGCAGCAGTAAAGATGTCTTTTAAAGAAATGCACTATCTTCTTGAAATCCCAGTGTTTTCTTGAAAAAAAAAAAAAAAGCGCTGAATAAGGCGTCAACCCTTGGGCCCTTGCCCCAACCTTTTTGTTATTATCTGATTGTATACTAGTTATACAATCTCTCTGGGCCTGAGGTTGATTTCTGGGTCATTCATTCATTCTGACTTTCTTTGATTCTATGAACTAGTCCATTCAGGTCCTTACATGAGTGTGAAACAGCCCTCTTCCTAACCTTCTCTAAGCCAGTTAGGCGTCAGCCCTCCCAGCAATCTGAGCCCTTTTCTACCCTTTTCTCTTTCCCACGGGGATCCCTCTGGAAGCCTGGAAGTGCTTCCATCACTTTTCCTCGGCGGGCGCCTCACTAGGTGATGCTCCTATAATTCTTACCTTCTTACTAATGGTATATCTTAAGAATTAGTTAAGAAGTTTGGTTTAAAGGCTAAGTTCAACAAACATTTTCTGAGTTCCTACTATGTGCCAGAAACTATACAATGAATGCACTGGGGTGCAGAGGAGAAGGGAGAGGGAACAATTCAAGAAATAAGCAATGAATTATGTTTTCAAAGACTCTCAATTTTGCAGCAGATTCCAGAACTCAGCATCAAGGTTAGAGGTCACTGAAGCTTCTCTGAAGCCTAAATGCTGATTTAATGGAGGCTCAGAACTATCAATGGCCACATTTATTATCTACTGTACTACAGACACTGTGTTAGACGCTTCCCTGTGGTCTCCATTTCATAGTCTGGTGAACTGCCTGAGATTACCCATCTAGTAAATGGCAGAGCCAGGGCTCATGGATCACCCTGGAGTCCCCGAGGACACTTGCCTTTCATGTTTCAGATGTAGTAAAGACCCTTGAAGTCATCTTCAAATCCAGTGTTAGTCTGCTAATTAGCAGAACTATTGAATCAGTAATTGTAATCAATTGCTTTTCCATTACTTATTTTCCCCTCTCCTCTTTAATTCACTTAAAAGTTATTGCTGAGATCCACTAT